CTGCTCCCTCCTCTGTTGACAGCCGACACCGTTTGAGCGGGTGCCCAGCTGCAAAGACATCATGAAATTCGTTAGCCAGGGAGGGAGAGCTTCGCATGCGATTTGTAGTGGTTTGGCAGACCTGTTCGCATATTGTGGGCCGGCCGACATCAGGGTCGCAGACGTGCTGAAAGATCACCATCGTGCTAAATTCAAAGATGCAGTGGCACAATTAATTATTAGTTTTCTTGCAAGCAGAACTGTCAGATTGCACACTGACGCTGGCGAGGCCAGCATCACGTTGCCACAATTGCCAATCACGCCGCGTGAATTCTTTGCAGTTGACGACGGCATGGTACGTTGCAGCCTGTGTTTCAAGAAAGCGACGACGGTCGAATTGGACTTTGTTCCACACGAGTTGTCCCTTTTCTGTAATGGGTCCTGGGCACCGTGCGTTACGGTCGGGTGCTGCAGGGATCTGTCAAGTGTGTTGTCACTATTTCTTGCATGTGGGAAAGTATTTCAAGAAACGCAAGGAGCCCTGTCATAGTCCCCCTGCCGTGAAATCCACCCGTGCGAAATCTGTTTTTTGTTGTAGAGAGGCTCAGCCTGGATTTCGAGCCTAAGAGTGGCAACCCTATTCCGCTTCAGTGAAGTGTGCTGTAGACTTGGTTGGAAGTGGATCGGGCCTGCTACCGGGGCGGTAGCCCTCACTGTACCCACCCTCTGGTTCGCCCCCCCCTCTCTACCGTGTGGCCCTGGCGCCGCCCCTCCTTTGACGCCTTCGGGGCTCCAGGCTCCCGCCTTCTGCCCCCTGGCGTGTTGGGCCCAGCTGTGGCTTTCTGCGCCCCTGGAACCCCTTCCTCCTGAGGTCCTTTGGGCTCCAGGCTGTGCCTTCCGGCCCCCTGGCGTCTGGCCTGGGCGTGGTCTCGGGCGTCTTCCGTGTGCGGCGGGCCGGCCTCGCTGGCCGCCTGCCCTGGTGCCTTGATGGCGCCCCTGGGTGCCCTTAGGGCGCCCTTTCACGATGCGGCCCCTGCCGTTGTGTTCGGGCTCGGTTGGGGTACAGTCGGACCGAGGTATAAGTTCGAGGTTGGTTCGGGGAGGGTACCCGAGTGTTCTTCGTGTTTGTTGGTTGTGCTTCTGCATCCTGGGGAGTGTACTCTTGGTTGTTTGTTTTGGCCGGCGGAGGGTCTCATGTTCTTGAGGAATGTTTTTCTGGCCCAGGTCCGACTGCTCCTGAACTCGGGACCCTCTCTTGGCAGCCCTGGCCCCCGCCCCCTCCCGCCCGTCTCGTTCCCCCGCGGGCCCGCGCCGCGGAGGCTGCTCCCTGAGCTTCTCGCCGCTGGACCCCTGGCAGCGCCGCCGCCCCGCCGCCCAGCCCCGGAACAGGGCCCCCCCCCCCTCCTTCTCCTGGGAGGACGCGTGATGGGGAGGGGCGATACACGGAGAGGGTTAGCGAGGGCTGCAGAAAAAGAGCCCTCAAGGGCCCCTAAAGGGGCCCTTTAGGTCCCAGAAGGGCGCCTTTAGGCCCTCCATTAACTCGCGCCCTATATCCACTCGGGAGCCTTGAGACGGGGGTCAATGCAAACGGGGGTCAGTCAGAGCGCCAGATCTTGCAGGATCCTGCAGAGCCAGGGGTGCACTGACCCTGGCTTGGGTGCAGGATCCTGGAGGATCCTGCAGGATCTTGCAAAGCCTGAGTGGCCCTGATCTGTCTGACCCGGGTCAGTAGATCCCCGATCCACCAGCTGCCCCCGAACAATCAAGTCAATCAGAGAAGAGGGGAAAGTCGGGGATACACCTTAAGGTGGGCTATGTGGACGCACCCTATCGATGATGTGCGCCCCTCCATCGTGTGTCCTAGAGTTGGGCCTGCAGTGTTTGTCTTGTCGAGGGCATCACAAAGTTGGGGATGCGGGTCGCCATGCCCCCCGTCAAGGGCAGCTCAGAGAGTGCAGGCTGGGCGTTTCTCTGAGGAGGGCGAGGGGAGACAACGGTAGTTGGTCGGGTGTCTTCTTCATAGCGGGGGGTTCGCCTGCTTCGGGGCCCAGGACCATCACAGCTCGATCCGGCTCGAAAAATGACGCAGGAAGCTGGGGTCGAGGATTATTGTCGTGATCTGTCATGCGGTGTTGCAGCTTCACCGCGTCGGATCTCAAGGCAGGTGGCCTTCGGGGGGGTTGTCCTCGTCGCCATGGCTGTGTCGCAGTTCGGAACACTGATGGGCTTGACCTCTGGAGGGGTCCAGGGACAGATTATGAGCTGTCGTGGCCTCAGCTTGCCCTGTTCCGAGTTTCGTACTTGGGGGGCGATAAATCAAGAGTGAACGAGCGCAGCATAAGAGGGCCCAAGAAGGGCTCCCGAAGATGCACGGAAATTGCACCTTTCTTCACCACCACCGTTTGTGTGAAAGAGCACGCCCGTCGCACATTCTTTACTAAAAGGGGCGCCCCATCTTCAAGCTGCCCCCCCCCTTCCCTTGGAAAAGGGAGGGTGGGCTTCCGAAGCTACCTCCCCTTTTTATATGCATTGGTTAGCTGGGGGCCCTGGCTATAGGAGGGGGGGGCTTGGAAGCTCCCCCCCCCCTCCCCCCCTTTTCCGGGCCCCCTACCAAATGGGAGGGGCTTCCAAAGCTACCCCCCCTTCTCTTGTTCGGATCTGGTAGCTGCGGGGTCCAAGGGGGGGGGGATTGGAAGCTCCCCCCTCCCCTCGCCTCCTTTTCGGGGCCAGGGGTAAGCCGGGGCTCCATTGTCCAAAAGTGGGGGGGAGGCTTCGGAAGATACGACCTCCTCCCCTGGTGCTGTCGGCTTTCCCAGCTGGAAGGCCCTGGCTGGAGGGGGGGGGGGGTCCGAAGCTACTTTTCTTCCTTGGTTTTTGGCGCCCCGTTGGTTTTCGGCGTACTTGTGGTTTTCGGCGTCTCATTGGATTTCGGCGCCTCTTTGGTTTTGGGTTTTCTTTTGGCCCTTGGTGCCCCTTTGTTTTTCGGCGTTCCCTTGATTTTCGGCGCTGCGTTGGTTGTCGGCGCCCCTTTGGTTTTCGGCGCTCCTTTGGTTTTCGGCGCCCCTTTGGATTTTCCGCTTGCTTTTTCTGCGCACCCATTGGTTTTCGGCGCATCGTTGGTTTTCGGCGCCCTCTTGGATTCCGAAGCCCCTGTGGTTTTCGGCGCCCTCTAAGTTCTCGGCGCCCTTTTGGTTGTCGGCGCCCATTTGGTTTTAGGCGCCCTTTCGGTTTTCGGTGCTCGTCCTTCGGTTGTGGGCGTCCCTTTTGGTGTTCGGCGCATCGTTGGTTTTCGGCGCCCGTTTGGTTGTCGGCGCCCTATTGATTTTTGGCGTCCCTATGGTTTTCGGCACCCCTGCGCTTTTCGACGCCCTTTTGGTTTCCGGCGCCCCTTCAGTTTTGAGGCGCTCTTTTGGTTTTCGTCGCATCGTTGGTTTTCGGCGCCTGTTTGGTTTTCGGCGCCTCTTTGGTTTTCGGCGTGGCGGGTGAGTGGGGGGTGCTTCAGGCAGGGAGGGTTCAAAGGGTGGGGGTAGCTAACTCCCCGTCCCCCGCTTTGGAAAGGCGGGGAGGGGGGGGGTGGTAGCTTCCGGAGCGCGAACGGGGAGTTTCCGAGAGGTGGACCAAAAAGTAAGGGGGAGGGGGGGGGGCTTCGGGTAGGGGAGGTCCAAGGGGGGGGGGAAGGTAGCTAAGGGGTGACCCCCTTTGGGAGTGTGCGACGGGCGCCTAGTAAGGACGCGCGCCTTAATCTAGGGTACCTTTTTGTCATTATCTGCGGCCCGTCCTTTGTCGTTTTTTACTGGTCGGCCTCCAAGGGTCTTGCGTTCTTACCACCCGTCCTTAATACACGATGTGTCTATAGTACGCAGAGCCTGCCAGGAGTTCGACTGGCATCCGAGCAGATTCAGGTTGGATTCTGGCCACTTCTGTTGGAGGTCTGGGACAAGGCATGGAATGGAGGGTATGCTGTTCCCATCTCTTCCGCTCTCTTTCCCCTCCTCCTCCATTATCATCCCTCCCTTTCCTCTCACGTTCTCCGTCAGGCCTTTCGGCACCCGGCCCCTCTAGCACGGCCAGTACCCGCTGGCAACCAGGAGGAGATGGATGAAGATGGCCATGCCCTGCCATGCTTGTTCAACCTCTGCGTGTCAGAGCCTGCTTCCCTTAGACACTCGCCTCAGCGGCGCGCGTAGGGGGGAGGCGAGAGGGGCAGGCCTTCTCAGAAGGCCGCGGGGCTTCGCAGAAGCCCCCCCCAGCCTTACGAGAAGCCGTCTGTGGCCTCGGAGAGGGCTCGGGCAGCCCTCCAGACGGCCGCAGGCCTTCTGAGCCTGCTGAGAAGTCCCGCCCACGCTGCCTCTTCCCCCCCTGGGCGCGCCGCCGATCACCGTCGACACGGGTGTCCTCTGCGAAACGTACGGGAGCGGGCCCGCCGGTCTTGTGCGAGGGCGACCGTGCGGGGTCGACGCGTCGGCCAAGCACGTCTCTCCTGTGCTGCAGGGTGCTGCTCACGCGGGGCAGCGCGCCACCGAGCACTGCGCCGCGATCGCGTCGCCGTGAAGCTAACGTTTCCTGAGGGGAGCGGGCCGAACGGGATTTGCTCTGCGCCGCTTCTTCGGGAGGGGGGCCCTCCACGGGCCCCGGGACCGTCAAACGAAACGAATCGGTCCCAGGATTAGGCCGGGGTCCAGGACCCGGGTCGGAGGCGCGTCGAGGGGAGAAGCGACAGGCGGCAGGGCTTCTCAGATGGCGGCGGAACCTTTCAGAAGCCCTCGGGCCTTCTGAGAAGCAGTCTGAGAAGCCCGATGGCTTCGGAGAAGGCTTGGAAAGCTTCTGAGAAGGCCAAAGGCCTCCTGAGACTCCCCCCCCCCCGGGCACGCCTGCCCTCCTCTTCCTCCCTCCTCTCTTCCACGGCCATTTAGACGCCCCGGTCGACGACGACCACGTGGTCCTCGACTGTGATGACAACGATTCGACGACGGTCACGACGACGACCACAACGACGACACCGATCACGACAACGACGACGACGGCCCTCCCTCCTCAGGTAGGACGCCACATGCGACCCCCCATGATTTTGTAAGGGGCGTGGTGGGGTTCACTTTGCTCGGGAGCTGAGTGAACCCCCCCCCCTGGAAATCGTGGGGGGGTGCGGTGCAGGGTTCGCATGTGGCCGTCTGTCGGGAGCGAGCGAGCGAGCGACCACCACGTCGACCGCCCTGGGGTCTTCAGGCTGTTCGTGGTCGGCTGCGAGACCGGCGGCGTCATGCGCGCCTTTCGCCCGCCGCCCGGCGCGTCGATGGGCAAGCCGCAGGGCCAGTATGCCTGGATTGCGCGCTCCCGTGGGGCGGGGAGGGGCTGGGGTAAGTGGGGGAGGTGCGGGAGGGGAAGGTCCTAAGCCTTGCGAAGTTGTATGCTCTCTCCCTGCCTCTCTCTCTCTCTCTCTTAATCTCTCTCTTTCTCTCTCTCTCTCTCTGTCTCGTCTTTCTCTCTCTCTCTCTCTCTCTTCGACTCTCTCGTCAATGCATGCTGCATCCACGATCCTGCGCAGGCAGGAGGGGGCGAAGAGACGGGGGGAAGGAGTGTGGGAGATCCAGGACGGCAGAGGGCACGATATAGGTGGGCGGTGGAGAAAGTTGGGACGGCGGAGAGCGAGGATGGAGAAGAGGGGAACGGGAGGGACAGCGGGAGGGATCGAAGTTCGATGATCGAAGTATATTGAAGTAGGCTTGGTCAAAGTAAGCGAAACGATCGAGGGAAGAGGAGAAGGGGAGGAAGAAGAGTGACGAGCATCATGAGGTTGAGAATTACCGTGTTGCCCTTGACGAAGTGGTCCGTGTCTTGGGCCAGCTGTTGGCTTCCAGTGTGCGACCGCCCTATCAGTGATGGGCATCGGGACAGAAGGAGTGTCATGATGCACGGGAGAGGAGGTGGAGGAGGATGGCGCTGAGGGAGGAGGGAGGAACAGGATGCTCGATGACGGAAGACGGCGAACACAGCGACAGACGAACGACGCAGGGGAGGGAGACTACCGACGAAGACCGACCGACCGACCGACCGACCACGACAACAAAGCCGTGGTGGCGACCCCCACGTTGATGGCGACCGCGGAGACGGCGTCCGCAACGACGGCGGCGTCTCCGGCGCGGGCGCAGAAGACGCGCGCGTGCGCGCGAGCGAGGAAGCCTTCGGCCGTCCTGCTGTTGGACCAGGCCGCCAGCTGCCGCGCCCGCCGCGCGGCCCCCTGTGCGCGCGGGGGCCTGCGCTTCCGCGTCGCAGCCGCGCCCGGGGCTGCGCCTCCTGCCGCCGCATGGGGCAGCCCAGCCCTGCGAAGGCAGGATCGCAGGCAACGACCACGACGACGACGACGACGACGACGACGACGACGACGACGACGACGCCGAGGCGATTTGTTCTCCCCTAGTCCTTATCATGTTCCAACCTACTGTAGCCTTGATCACCAACCGGAATTTCGAGCACCGGGCCCTGGGGGGCGTTACTCGTTCGGCACCTCGCCAGTGTCGTGCAGACATTGTTTCGAGACTTTGCTGGGTGCTCGATATAATTCTTGGGATGCGGTCTCTAAGTGCGATAAGATCAACAACCCAATCCCCGAGTTCCGCCCGAAAAGCTTGGCCGCTCAGAGCAAGGGGGAGACCATGGGATACACTCCAGGGGGGCTATTCGGACGAACTCCTATCGAGGATGGACCCCTCATCGTCGTATATCCCAGGGTCGGGCTCCAAATAGCCCCCCAGGAAGCCCCCCGAGAAGCCTAGTAGGGTTCGACATACCCCCTGTTACAGGATGCTGGGAAACGTAAGATCGGCCCGCAGGAGTGATTTAGACCCTGTGCATCATTCCTGGTCCCCCTGAGGGTCGGAGGAGGAGAGGGTACCCATACCGCTACTCTTCCATCGCTTTCCCCTTCATGGGCCTCCTGGGAGGCCCTCGTCGCCACCGCTGGATGCGCCTCGAAATTCTGGTCAGAACGCGCCCTGGGAGAGGTCTGAGAAGTAGCGGTATCAGTACCTTTTGGCTTCTCAGGAGTCTAGCCCTTATGCTTTCCTCCTGGCCTACCCGAGAGGGGTCTGACTCCCTTTCCAACAGTTCGAGCTCGCGGGGACTCGGCCTTGCCGACGCTCTGCGACGGGCCAGTTCTCTTGGGACGTTGGCAGCGGAGGCTCGCGTCAAATGTCAGACTTAGTTCGCCGGGACTCGGCTTTGCCGACGCTTCGTGACGGGCCAGTTATCGTGGGACGTTTCCAGCGGAGTCTCGCGTCAAATTTCATATTGGGTCTCCTCCTTTTCCTGAGGCCAGCCCGAGTCCCCCGAAGCCGAGTCTCACGCCTCCGCCTCCCCGAAGGGAGGACGGAGGCCAGGCGGGCCCAGTACCTGGAGGAGGCTCGACGACATCTTGGCATCGCTCGGATGCGTGCTGTGTTTCTCTCGGCGGCGGCCATCGAGGGGCATCTAGGATCATCTTGCGAAGCAAAAGAACGCGCGAAGCCGAAAACTTAACGAGGGATGGACGTCCGAGCGATGGCAAGACATAATACAACAGTTGTCAGAGGTCCGCGCGGAGTTCTCGGATCGGCGCTGCCCCCCCCCCCCCCTGGCGGCGCCTCTGGTGCCTCCCTTGATGCGCGCCGGGGAGCGGGGTCCAGCGTCAATCAAAGAAGTCTACGCGGACCTCCAACGGTTTATGATCCTGCAGTTGTTACGAAACAGATTTTGCTGATAGGTTTCTAGTGGGATCAAAAGAGAGCATCTTGACGACCCAGGGGGGTCTGGGCGGGATCCGGACAAGGAACCTGACAAAAGTGCAGCCCCAGGAATCCTTAGGAATTCTTAGGAATCCTTCGGAATCCCTTGCCAGAACACCATTCCCAGGCCACATTTTGAATGCCCTGAGCCAACTGTAGGCCATTTCGTGTTCTTCGTGTTCCCAGAACACCATTCCCAGGCCACATTTTGAATGCCCGGAGAAATCTGTAGGCCACTTCGTGTTCTTCGTGTTCCCAGAACACCATTCCCAGGCCACATTTTGAATGCCCGGAGCCAGCTGTAGGCCACTTCGTGTTCTTCGTGTTCCCAGTTCCCAGAACACCATTCCCAGGCCACATTTTGAATGCCCGGAGCCAACTGTAGGCCACTTCGTGTTCTTCGTGTTCCCAGAACACAATTCCCAGGTTTTGAATGCCCGGAGCCAACTGTAGGCCACTTCGTGTTCTTCGTGTTCCCAGAAAACCACTCTTGTACCATAATTATGTTGATTACCCGGAGCCAACTGTGGGCCATTTTGTGATCTTAGTGTTCCCAGAACATAAGTCCTGTGCCATATTAGGAATGCCCGAGCTGAGGCACGCTGAGGCCGAGGCAGGCTGAGGCCGAGGCAGGCTGAGGCCGAGGCAGGCTGAGGCTGAGGCTGAGGCTGAGGCACGCCGAGGCAGGCTGAGGCTGAGGCTGAGGCAGGCTGAGGCTGAGGCAGGCTGAGGCTGAGGCTGACGTCGGCTGAGGCCGAGGCAGGCTGAGGCTGAGGCTGAGACAGGCTGAGGCTGAGGCTGAGGCAGGCTGAGACTGAGGCTGAGGCAGGCTGAGGCTGAGGCTGATGCAGGCTGAGGCTGAGAGGCTGACGCTGAGGCTGAGGCAGGCTGAGACTGAGGCCGAGGCAGGCTGAGGCTGAGGCTGTGGCTGTGGCTGAGGCTGAGGCTGCGACTGAGGCAGGCTGAAGGCTGAGGCAGGCTGAGGTTGAGGCAGGCTGAGGCTGAGGCTGAGGCAGGCTGAGGCTGAGGCTGAGGCCGAGGCCGAGGCAGGCTGAGGCTGAGGCCGAGGCAAGGCTGAGGCTGAGGCTGATGCTGAGGCTGAGGCAGGCTGAGGCTGAGGCAGGCTGAGGCTGAGGCTGAGGCTGAGGCTGAGGCTGAGGCAGGCTGAGGCTGAGGCTGAGGCAGGCTGAGGAGGCAGGCTGAGGCTGAGGCTGAGGCTGCAGGCTGAGGCTGAGAGGCTGAGGCTGAGGCTGAGGCTGAGGCTGAGGCTGAGGCTGAGGCTGAGGCAGGCTGAGGCTGAGGCTGAGGCAGGCTGATGCTGAGGCAGGCTGAGGCTGAGGCTGAGGCTGATGCAGGCTGAGGCTGAGGCAGGCTGAGGCTGAGGCCGAGGCTGAAGGCAGACTGAGGCTGAGGCTGAAGCAGGCTGAGGCTGAGGCTGAGGCAGGCTGAGGCTGAGGCTGAGGCTGAGGCTGAGGCAGGCTGCTGAGGCAGGCTGAGGCTGAGGCTGAGGCTGAAGCTGAGGCTGAGGCAGGCTGAGGCTGAGGCTGAGGCTGAGGCTGAGGCTGAGGCTGAGGCTGAGGCTGAGGCAGGCTGAGGCTGAGGCTGATGCAGGCTGAGGCTGAGGCTGAGGCCGAGGCAGGCTGAGGCTGAGGCCGAGGCAAGCCGAGGCTCGCTGAGGCTGAGGCTGATGCTGAGGCAGGCTGAGGCTGAGACAGGCTGAGGCTGAGCCAGGCTGAGGCTGAGGCCGAGGCTGGCGAATCCTTCCGAATCCTTAGGATTCCTCAGGAATCCTTAGGAATCCCTAGGAATCAGGAATCCTAAGGATTCCTAAGGTTTCCTGAGGATTCCTATGGATTCCTAAGGATGCCTAAGGATGCCTTAGGAATCCCTAGGAATCCTTAGGATTCCATTGGATCCTAAGGCCGTTGCCACTGCGACTGTCATTGCGAATGCGACTGCGACTGCGAGAACAGTAGCAGGATTCTACAACTGGATTCTCACCTGAATCTTAAGGGTAATGCTTCCAGATATGCTGATACACATCGCTGTTAGGTTGCTTTGCCGGGATACTGTTTTCTTATGACCAGACCACGTCGCTCCAGAGAGTTCCGGAACGCTCGGATCCTTCTGGAGCGCTATGGAGCGACCTCTCCGCGCGAGACATCCTCCAGAACCGCCTGATCTAAGAGAGATCTTTGGTGTGTCCTGGTCCGATGTTGTCCCAGTACTGGCCTCGTCTCCGGAGAAGGAAGGGAGAGGCGGGATGGGCAGGTTAGGCGCGTTCGTGCCATGCCTGGCACCCTTAGCTATACCCCTCCCGCCCATCCCTTCCCGTTGCTCTGATTTTTTTGATCTGATGGTTTGAGGAGCAGGTGTAGGAGCAACACCATGAGCAGGAAGACTATGAGGACAAGGATGACCAGGAGAGGGTCGGCAAATACGAGAGGAGTCGGATCCAGAAATGTGGCCCGCGCTGCGACAAGCAAATCTGAAACACGCGGGAAAACTGCCGACCGACCCTGATCTGCTGTCAGCGTTACAGCAGGAACTCAATTGGTTAGAACTCAACGGTTCGTTTGACAAGCAAGCTTTTGAAACAACAACAATGTCTGACATCTTGTGTAAGTGTGTGTGTGTGTGTCATTGTCCGCATTCCCCCGCGTTCTCAGCATGGCCTCCTCACTCCTCTTCGGCCTCCCCCTTTTCCCACTTCCCGCGTTCCCCTCGCGACGGCCCCCTCGCGAGTGTTGCCGTTTGGTCCGCTATGGCCCTATGGTGGATCCGGCTCCTCTATGGCTGTGTGAGGTGGCTCGGCCCGCGCGCCTATTCTTCGCTCGTCTTTCACTGTGCCGCGCAGCCGCGCGCGTGGCCGCGATGCCGAAAAACGTCGTGTTGTAGCCCCGTAGGGCACCGACGGGCCCCGAGGGGACTGTCAGACTCTGGCGTCGGTCACGAGTCCCCACGTAACCAGGTGGCACCACGGGGGCGCCAGGGTCACTCAGCGTTGTGCTGAGTGACGGGCGAGGGCCCTCCCAAAGGTGCGTAGGTCGCATGAGCCAACTGTGGGAAAAGGGAACCGAACTACACTACGCAGGGAGGAGATGGGCTGGGTGGGGGCAACGGAGACCGAGAAGGGAGGGAGGGCAGGACGGGGGAGGGGATTATGAGGGTGGGAGGGGTGGGATGAGGGGGGTGGAGGGACAGGAGGTCGAAGGAGGAGGGAGCCGGGAGCCAGGGGGACGGAGGAGGAAGGAAGGGCCTCGAACACGCTCAGAGAGACTCTCCGGAGGCCAGGGAGCAGTCAAAACCGATCGGCCTATGTCGGAGGCATGAATGCTTATCTGTTCGTTTCTGTTCGCATCTGTCTGAAAACGAGTATTTCCCGAAGGGCTCGACGACTTTCCTCCAGCCATCCTGCATGAAATTAGCCCGATAACTCTTAGGCG